GGGCCTGGGCTGGGGATTCGAACCCACCACCTTAGGTGTATGTGGCTGGCGCCTTAGCCGCTTGAGCCACAGGCGCCGAGCCCATATTCTCAACTTTAAAGTGATTCACCTAGTAGGTCAGATACATGTGTGTTTCAAATTTACTCATTTGTTTAAATCAACAACTTTATTAGGGAACCAGCTGTAGCCAAATCTATGCCTCTGTATGGAAGAGAATCACTTACTGAACCATCAGTTTTTATGCATCAGAAGGCTGCACATGAGCAAATGCACAGTTCTACAGAAAGGTCAGCCTTGCCATACACATGGGCACCTATTTGTTGCAAAGATCTAAGTTTGAATGCCTTCAGAACTGGTAAAATATTAAATTATAGGCCAACGACTTTATTATAACAACTCTTACCAGATAAGATAAAACTGTGATATTGATTGATGGAGTAAACTTGTGAAGAGAATTGAGTTTAATACTATTTTGACTTGTATGGATTCAATTGTTCAATATTGCTCTGTGCCACGCACTGTACTAGACACAGGGGTAGAGTGAGGAATAAGACAGATTCCCTAACCTAGAATTTAGTGGGGACAGTTAGTCAAGAAAATGGGCAATCAGAGTAATGCAGCAGGTTCTATATTAGACAAGTGGAAGTATCTTAAGAGCACAGAAAAAGGAGACCCTGAGGCACCTGAACCACTAGAGAGGAGAAGAAGGAGGAGGCAACGGGAAAGGCTTGATTTAGCAGGTAGTATCTTAGCATGCATCCAAAGGATGAGTCGGAGCTAGTCAAGTCAAAGGGGGGAGACAGGAGGTGGAGAGACCCCAGACTTAGGGAGGGGCGGCTCGAAGGCTGGAAGCAGAATCAGTCAGCATTGTCCGGGATGGTGGGTGTGGCTGTATATTTCATCCCAGCATCTTAAAATATTCTATACTGCGTTTCTTTCTTTTATGAGAGTGTGTAAATACACATAGTGTTGATTAAAAAAAAATAAAGAGAGCAGAGGGAGAAGACTAAAGAAGCAAAATCTGTTGAGAGTCAATGCTGGAGTTTGGAAAAGCTAGAAAAGTGAGTCTATATTTTAATCCCATCTACCTGTGGGCTCTGTACATGAACATCTTGGGATGAGGAAGCCAAGTCTTCACTCTCTCCACAGTATGTGTTCAAGCTAGACTATTACCATTCAAGGATGTTAATTTTGCCTAACATGTGCCTTAGACTTCTCCAACCCCCTAGTCCACACTTTTTTTCCATAGTGCATAACAAACACTTCTCATTCACCTTAACAGGCTTTTCTGTAGAGTCCGGTTAATATTTCAAAATATTTATTTTCTGTATAAATAATTCTTAAACAGTTCTAGCATAATATTCAAAAAGCTCTACATATATAATGATACATAGAATATCTACAAACTTTCAATTGCTTTATGGATTCCTTTTGGCAGGCATAGATGGATGAACATTACCAGTTCTATTACTCAGTTTGCACTGTTCTCAGATTATGGAACACTATTATTAAAAAGGTTTAATTTTTGATACTACGCACTGACTTTACAAATGGGGAAATCTAGGCCCAGATAATCCCAGAGCTGGGACTCAAACTCAAATTTCCCAACACCTATTCCAGCATTTGTCTGGACCTTGTTACCATCTTATCTCTGTAATTTTTTTTTTTTTTTTTTTTTTACTTCATGGCCCATATCACATATGGAGTATGAAAAAAAGTCCCAGCACAAGAAAATCTACAATAGTAAAGATCTACCAAACATATCTTAATTTTCTGATGGTTCAGAAAGGCCCATACAAAGCCTCAGTGATTTTTTTTTGTTATTAATTATCAATGTATTATAGGTGTATGAATTATACCTAGATAAAAAGCAAAGTCAGATGAACAGAATGCCAGATAAGAGTGTGCTATTTCCACATTAGTAATTAATAGGAATAAGTCTCAAAGTCTCCTCAGAGAGCTGGTTAAAATATATTTCTTTATATGCTAGAACTATTCCTAGCTACAGACCTACTTCTAATGCATCTTCTAAACAGGTGTATATGGTAAAACAGATTATCAAGACAATGCAAGTCAACAATATTTTATACTCATTTCCCTCTCAAAGCATTATTTGCATATAGGAAGTGAAACATTTTAATAATAATGATGATGATGATACTTTTGATTCTGAGTCATTACCAATGACCTGTGTGTAAAGTGAAAGGCATCTAGAAAGAGGGAATTAAGTATTTATTATATAATTAACTTTGCTCTGAAGCCAAGCTATAAAAGACACTATTCATTGGGTACAGAAGATTTTCTCTTGAATGGCCTCATGATAATCAAGAAGGACATTGTTGGGTCTACTTGACTTTCAAGTCAGGAATATTCTTTACTGCTGAAGCAAGCATTTCTATTTCAGAACTGCTTCATGGGCCTTCAGATGGTTAGCTAAATATACTTAGCATTCGAGGATGTGTGCGTTTCCCAACAATTGCATTAGATGACGCTTGCATATGCACACACTAAAATGCAACTCCATTTTAACAGAGTCATAAAACCACAAGCTACAATGCCTCTTTTTGGAGGATTAAGAAAAATTGTAACTGAGCTGATTTTGTAAAACATGTGCAGACAAAGAAAAGGAAACTTAATTTTAAATTTTTAAGAATGATCAGGCTATAACGCTATTTCTTCACATTTACATAACTGATTCACAAATACTATACACATCTCTGTTATGTGTAGGACTTAACGAACCTAGGTGTATCCAAGTGAGACACAACTTTAAGGCATGCATTTTGTCCACATCAAATCATCACATTTGGTCTAGAATGCCCCTATCCACAAACACTTGTTTTTTGATCTGACTCCCACAGTAGAATGTGACTGCTTAAATAAATATTTCCCAGGAAATAATTAAAATTCTGCTTTTGCTTTCTTATTATTGCATTCTTTTCCGGTAATAGGAGCAGCACATAAACAGCCAACGGTACCCAGTTGGACAAAAACAGGATCTATGACTAACCTGGGGCTTGTGGGGACCTCATGCTTCCTGCCCTTACTTTTTAACAGAGAGAGGCAATAACATATGATGGATTCCTTAAGATACACACTAATAAGATATGGATTGGGATGGAAGATTCAAACTATCAACTACGAGGAGATTTTGGTCTTCAATCACTTGCTTTTTCAGCTATTTTATAGCATGGATAATTGAATAATGGCAGTGATCAGGAAAAAAACAATGATGGATATTTCTTTCATTCTTTCTAACTCTAAAATAGAACAGGCAATTTAATGGGTTATGGTTATGAACTTCTTTCATTTGCCCTTTATTTTCTCAATCTCTCTTCATGCTGGAATAGAATGAAATAGAGCCTTTTAAGAAAAAGTTTTTCAAAGTAAAGTGTTTTTAATCAAGACATTATTGGGTGTGGGGATAACTATTCTAGGAATGCGAGAAAACGAGAAATGATGGGTAGGAATAATTAATATGAACTCCCCAAAGGGAGCTTTATGGGCAGAAAAAATGGTTAATGAAAGTAAGATTATCAGACTAAGTATGTATGAAAGAATAAGAATGAAGATATTCTTTTTTGATTCTGAAGGTCAAGGTTATAGGGAAAGAGAAGCTATCTTGTAGTAGAGAGAAGAGATTATCTTCCTAGTAATAGCATTACTAACATGACATACTACAAAAATATAAGAACAGATTAATGTTGTGAAAATAAAATTTGTATTGAAAAAAATAAAAACTGGTGAAAAAGGAAAGACTTTTAAATTCAGTTATTCTAAATGTTTAAGAGTATATTATATAAATTTTTTTTTTTTTGAGACAGAGTCTCACTTTGTCACTTTTGATAGAGAGTCATGGCATCATAGCTCATAGCAACCTCAAACTCTTGGGCTCAAGTGGTCCTCTTGCCTCAACCTCTGAGTAGCTGGAACCACAGACGCCCACCTAAGCACTAGGCTATTTTTAGAGATGGGATCTTGCTCTGGATCAGGCTGGTCTCCAGGTCCTGAGCTAAGGCAATCCACCTGCCTCAGCCTCCTAAAGTGCTAGGATTAAAGGTGTGAGCCAATGCGCCTGGCCCCGTATTATATAATTTTTATAATATTATTTATTTACAGTATTATAATTCCATTTTTAAGTCAGAAAAGATTGAGGGACAAAGTTACTAATGTCCTGTATTCAACTGATGAGGCAGTGATGGGAAGAGGGAAAATCTTGCTTGTTATACCTAACAGAGGCAGAAATAGAATTGAAGAGTGGAAAATAAATTAAAAAATGTGTAAATATGAATTACTTACATCCCAAGTTTAGTCAAAGACACTAATCGATTGATACTTAGAAATATAAGGACTCAAGTTATTTTTCTTTAAAAAGGAAAATGATACCTTCACATCCCTTCTTGGACGTCTAGGAGAATTCACTAGTGAAGATGAGGCATAAAAGTTGGAAGAAAAACAGAAGAGCGGGAGAAAATTTATTCTCCATGCCTCTCTCTCTCTTACTTTTTTCTTTCTTTAATCATTAAATTTTAGCTGCATCTGCTAATTTTTAAGTAATAGCTACAGGGAAATATTTTTGCACTTGTGGAAATTAGACATACTATATGCATATAAATGTGCTAAATTGTAATTTCAAAAACACGTTAAAATCAAGCAATTAATCATTACAAACAATAAAATAAAAATGTTCATGGAGTTCTTTGCTGTCCCAATATCTCAAATGTCAAAAAAATGTTCACCTGCATAGAGCAGCTGCAGATAGGACCCATGCATGCCGGACAACAGAAGTCAATGCTACCCACTGAACAATACCTGAATGGTGCAGTCTCAACATTTCCATCCAACTCTAATGGAAACACTTTTCTATCAATTATTGGGGCTGCACTGAAGTATTTCTTCTAAGGTCAACCATGTAATGAGTGTAGAACAATGATCAATGATCAAGTCTTCTAAAATAAGGTATCCTGAAAAACGGCAATAGAAATACTGGGGAAACCTACCTTTTATAAAGAAGGATAGCAATTACAATGCAGATGATAAAGACGACTGCGAGGACTGGACCTACAACCCAGATCAAGCCTTCCTCTTCATCTGTGATTGGCTGAGGGTCCAGGTCCATCGACACCACGGGGTCGGAGTAGGGGCTGGTCGCATACATCTTCTGAGGAAAAGCAGAATCTGTTTTAGTTATAAAGTACAGGCTTTTGAGAATATATCTTCAGCATTATAAGAAGCAAAAAAACTCCAGGACATAACAGAGCCTGTGATATATGTGTGAAGCAATATTAGCAAAAGAGAAGGGAAGGGAGGGGAAAAAAATAAAAGGAGTTTTGGAAAATGTCTCCTTATAAAAGGAAAACTCTTGTAATAAAATCATTTTGATGGCGTCAGTTACTTCATAGATACTTTTTCATTTTGCTCTAATACAGTCTATAAAATGATCTTATGAAGTATAAACAGCAGTAATTAACCAGACACAAAATGAACATTTACATAGTGCCAGTGTGTTAGGTGTTACACAAAAATCAAGAGAAACATTCAGAGTACCAGCCTTCAAGCATTATCACCCAGTTAAGGAGACCAGAGTAAATACGCATAGAGCAACATCAGTCAATATTGAATTAAATGTTAAATTATGTTGGTAGTTCTTCGTACTGTTTAGTACTACTGTGCGCTACTCAGGAAACAGAGGCCAAACAATGAGCAAGTACAGTTCTCAGTTTTAAATGAGAATTCCAATGTTTAAATTATAGATGTAAAATGTATGGAATTGATAATATGACATTTAAAATGTAAAATGTTTAGAACTTAGCAGTTCTTAATTATATTACTTATATGTACTTATATGCTAACATATATTAATATATTATATTATATTATTATTATGTTAGTGCTCAGAGATTGGTTTGCTTATTTCCAATGGATGATTGATAATAAATGTACTTTTTAAAGCTACAGTGAAGGAATGGACTAAACATCTGTGAATTTTGCTTCTGCAATATCCTACTTTGTTCCACCCTATTTTAGCCTATCTTAGAAAAATATTCTCTTGACTCTCCTTCCTGCGTAAGGTCCTGTATTTTACTTTCCAACTCCACTCGAGACCAGTTCATATCCACTGGCTGCTCTGTGTCTCCTACCGCTCACTTCTCATCTTTTCTCATTCCTACACTTTATTGGTCTCATTGCTTCATTTGCCAAGTCTAATTGTCTTTATTTATTCCTTACTTCTATAGACATCTTTTCCATATTTGCTACAGGGATCAAGCCTTCTTTGAAACTCCTCTCTCTGGCTCTAATTCTGAACTCAATTGATTCTTCTTAATTTTTCCAACTGCTAGTACCCTGCTGAGTTAATTGCCACTGATTCCATCCTATGAACCATTCTTTATTTTATATTAGTTTCTCTTTTTTTTCCCTTATCTGATGAGGTTGTCCCCAATTTTAACTATTTGTCTATGCAGATTACATCCTCATTAATATTTCTAAGGTCAGAAACTCTACTATGTCCCAGATTTTCATTTCCAAAATCTAGAGATTCCTACATGTATGATTACATTAAGAATTGCATACATTATTTCTGGTCTTCCCAGATACCCTATCCTTTCCAATTAACTTCCCAAATTCTCTCATCCTCCAGTATCTTGGAATGGATACTGGTTTTACCTAATGGAAATAAGTATGAAATATAAATACTGATTTTACTTTATTGATGACCCTCAGGTCCATCTGCTCTTTATCTTATCCCATATAAACTATTTCCCCCCCCAGGACCTTCTCCATGCTCTCCTGACCATAACAAGAGTTTCTTCCTTCCTCTATAGTCTCCACTGCTCCACAAATTATTATCTCATTTGTAAAACCTTCAAGAGACTCTTTGGTGATTCCCAAATAAAACGTAAGACATCTTAGTATGGTTCTTAAGGAAACCCCAAATTTTGCTTTTAACCTCCTTACCACATACAACATACTCCATTGCAATGAGCTTTTTGCTACTACTCCCTAAATGCTCTATTCTTGCTCCTTAACTCCCTTTCAAGTCCTACAACATCAAATTCTCTACTTTTTTAAGACTGCCTCCATTGAAGCCATCTCTTCTTACCCTGGTGGTAATCGGTCTTTCCAAAAGATATAGGCACAAATAATAAATTTTAAACTGTATTTAGTTCTTTATTCCTTTTCTAATGACACTCACCAAACTCTATTTGTTTTTAATTTTTGCATATGTTTCATTTTATTTAATGAAACTATAAATTCCTATATTAGGCATTTATATACTAGTGTATTGGTATGTTTAAAGCAGTGAGCACAGAACTTTGCACTTACTGAGTTCTCAGCAAATCTTTGTTGAATAAAATAAATGCTCATCTTTTCAAATGGCTGAACTTATTAAAATGAGTACACATGCTATTTATTCATAATCAGTGAATGTATTTAACTTTTTTAATCTGAACCTTTGAAAACGTAGCTCAAGATATACTTTCCAAATTCAAATACAAGTTTCAGAGTCAAGCAGGAAAACACATGCTCCTTTGAATACTTGTAGACTGTTCTTCCTACTATGTTCACTATGCCCAGGGAAGAGAATGAATAGATTCCCATATTTTCTTGGGCATCAAAATAACATCAAAAAGTCAAGATGTACTTCCAACCTTCACAGAAACAGCCTTTTTTTTTTTCTTTAAGAAAGAATGTATATGTTATGAGGACTGACACAAAGTACTTGGCAAAGAGACCATCATCTAAGAAACATGATTCTTTGTGATTACTTTGCTCTGTATTTTTCCCCTTCCATTTGGTAGGTCATGCCCAATTTTTCTGGTAGTGAAAATAAGCAAAACTCTGCTTTGAAATTCTGTACCAAGAGCCTTCGAGATCATAATCTTGGTTAATCAAGATGGAAATCTAAGCAAGGGTTTTCCCAAAGCACATAGATTTCTAACCCAAATCAAGCAACAAGAGACAAGAAAATGAAAAGAAAACAAAGCCATAAAATGACACCAGCCTCATGGAAAGTAGAATTTGTTCAGTGTTTGAGAGGAACAGAGGAGATTAAACTTTAGAGCACTTTAAACCAGTTGTCTGATATTCTTACTATGAGGTAATGGACTGGGGGAAAGCTTGTGTCTTTGGGTGAGAAAGAGAAGTATTTTCTCTCGTAAAATTGCCGGTTCACTCTTAAGAGTGGTTACACACATCATTCACAAATAGTCATAGAAATGAGAGGCTTACAAAAGACTATAGCTCTGCAAATATTATCCCGGCTGGATACAACTCCCTTTATACAGTAAATGCTGGCCTAAGAACATGGGAAACCTAAAGGAAAGGCTCTCACTGTGAGAGTAGTGTTGAGAAAGATGTTAAAGAGATATTCAGATAACTTATTAGGAAAAAAACATCTTAATTCTTAATGAAACAGTGAGATGACAAACTGAAGGAAGGGACAGACTCTTCAACAAGGGTGCTGCCTTTAAACACGAGTGGAACTGTTTGAGACACATTAGAAACCAGAGTGCATAAGCGGCTCTATCAGTCTGTGTGATCAGATGAGATTTCTCTTTGCTGAATTCTCTGATCCACCTCAATGCTCTGAATGTGCTTTCTGAAGCGTTCCTAGAGCTATTAAAAGAAAGTTCCTCTCAAATAACTCAAAGTAATTTTTGTGAAAAAAGGAAAAAAGATGATTTTCTAACATTCCATTCCCTTGATGTTCTGCCTTAAAACTTTCAACTAGAAAGAGAAAGTGTATCCTTACATTAAAATTCCAGGAAGACCATCACTTTGTTTTCTAATGACATTCTGAACACAAAGGTAAACCAGGCAGAGCGGCTGCCTTTGTATTTTGATTTTCCAAGGGGGAATTCCTTCAGTGCCTTGAAGAGAGAGAGGCCCCACTGTACATGCCAACACCTGATGTGGAGAAACCTTTGATACATCACGGGCTTCTTAAATGCAGCAAGTGACTGGCTCACCTGAGGTGCCACACCTGTCACATTTAGGCTCTGATTAGAAAGATACAGTTTACAGTATAGATATTAAATGTTAATATGAACTGTCACTGAAAAATCCATGCCCCCCTCCTATCTAAAATTTCTCTCCTATTTTTTTAAGCACTCAAAGCAACTGAAGCATGAAACGACATACAAGCCAAGATGAATTACATAAAAAAAGACAACTCACTATTTAAAGTACCTTAGAAATTCTCCCTTTCATTGAATTATTTTCCAACTTTTTTGGCTGTTCACTGATAAAATCACTCATAAAATCCTTTAATTAAAGCAGCTGCTGTTTTTCTCTCTTATTAGACAGACTCCCTGAGAATCTGGGTACTGTGGTCTCAATTGGCAAGTTATAGGAGAATAAACATCATCTATCCCCTCACCAAATCAGTATTTTCAACTACCTGGAAATACACTGTTGGATGACTTAGCTTGTTAGTTCCTACTGTAAGGGTGTACACTAACATCTACATGAGGACATCTTTTCTTTTTTTTTTTCTTTGGAGAGTAGTTATTTTAGAAGGACAAGGAAAAGGAGAGAGAGTAGTAATCAGTGATGGTTCTCACACTATGTTATTTGTGTTACATTGAAAGGTCTCAAGAACCATGGTCCTGCAATCTGGCACTTGAGACATGGTCTTTCTTGTTTTTAATGCAAAGTCAAGCTGTACATTCCACAATGTTCAAAGAGAAGGCAGCCTACATTTATGGTAACAACAGCTCATGAGAAACGATTAGAATGAATACACCTACAAATCCTCAAATAATCATATTCTACTGCAAATGTGTAAGCACACAATGGGAAACAGACGCCATCATAACTAACTTACAGACTCTGCGTGTTCCATCACGGCTAACACAAAGAAGACATATTCTTGACCACTTTGGAGTTGCTTGTTCGTAAATCCACCATAATGCTTGTCATCTCCCAGGGTGAACTCAGTGGGAAGGACATCAAAGTGAGCGGCAATATATGGCTTTAATTCAACTTCTCTCCCATAACGGATGCTTCTGCGTTTCCTAGATATCTCCTTTAGCAGCTGGAGGAAAAAGGTGGGAAACAGAAGAGAGCTGTAAACAACAACATGCGCCAACTTACTGACTGTTTAATGAGAGAAATTAATTCAGAACTGGGAACAACCCAGACACAATGTCTCCACCTTTCAGTGGCATCTCAGCATCCCTAAATCTGTATTCTCTCCATCTTTCAAATGCTTGTCTTCCTGTAAAAAATGTTAATTTTGTCTTCTCCCATTAAATGCTAGTAATCTCATAGTTTAGTAGGGAAAGGTCCATATCAGTCTATGATGCCTTTTGATGTAAGCACATAATTTTAACAGTTTCTTGGAAATAATTTTGATTTTATTTGTTCTAATATCTGTGTAGAAAAGACTGCTAAATGCAAGGCCAAGGCTATAAACATCAGGCAATTAGATCCTTTATTGGTAGCTCATTTCATTCCCTACGCTAATGAAATCCTCTCAAAGGGCAATAGTGTATCATAACTTGTCTAAGGAAAGTCAGCTTGATTCATATAAGCCCTGCCTTTGCAGGGGATTTATTATTTAGCTTTTCAGATAAAGCTACCTAAATCTTTAAATATGACCAAATTTTAGGAGAGGTTGGTACCATTTTAAATTATTTTTAGTAATAAATTAATTCATAGGTTGCAAATTCCATCAAATCAGCAGAAGTGGAATCTAGTGAATGATTTTAGATTTACATATATATTAAATAGGCATTGTTACTTATTTAACGATTTCTGGCTTGACTGGGCTCCTTGGTTAACCAAGTAGGGTACAATTCTTCACAATTTATCATGGAGCCAACTTTTTCTAGAATTTAGCTCTCTGGGGAGTTTGAATCTCTTGCCAGATGATACAGGCAGTCAGTAGTGCAGATAGAAATTAATTTTAATATAACACTAAACAAAGCAAACATGTGCATGTATCCACAGATCCTTAATGTACTTCACAAAAACCTACCAGAATTTATTTATGGATAATTTATTGTTCTGTATTGAGTCTTTTATTAGAAGATCATATTAATGGTATATTATGAACATGGATTTCAAAATGACATCAAAGTTATTTTTGTCTTCTCCCATTCAATTCTAGTAATCTCACAGCTTAACAGGGAAAGGTCTATATCAGTCTGTGACACCCTTTGACGTAAGCACAAATTTTTAATAGCTTGTTGGAAAGAATTTTGATTTTAAGTTTTGTTGTCTGTGTAGAAAAGACAGAGGTCAAATTAGAAAAGGGAATGAACCTTGTTTTTACGTTGATAAACAGATTCAGGTTACTTAGGGAAACAGGGAAGCAAATGTATTTGCTACCTTTAGTTTTTTGTAAATAGAAATGATATAGTAAAAACCAAAGTAGTAAACTCAGCTTAGTTAAAGGAGACCCTGGCCAGGCTCCAGTGATCATAATGGCTACGGACTATGTAAATGACAAACACGGAATCCTTCTGTTGGGATCTATTAGTGTACTACAGTCCCTAATATGCAGAGTTATAAATATGCTCAGCTGTTCAAAATTACATGCTAAAAATGTAAAAAACAGTCTTTTAGTTCAATGGATAATTTGTACTCATGTTATTAAATGATATTTAATTTATAATGGTTTAAAACTCTCTGAAAATTCAAATTTATTGATGCAATTAAAATGATATGAAATGTAGGCCGTTTTATGCAAACCACAGTAAATTGGGCATCACTTGTTTAGCAAATTTGGACCATTCGATAATAAATTCGAGTATGCTAATCCATGATGCACCAAATAGCCAGTAAAAAAGCAAGGTCAGAAACTGCATTATCTTTTAATCCTGTTGTCAAATGGAGTTTTATTTATAATAATCATCATGATGATGATCATGATGATAATTGTTACCATTTATAAGCACTTACTAGGTAGCAGACGCTGTTCTAGGGAGCCTAAACAAGAATTAGAGAATTTACTCGTCAAATAACCGTGTAAGATAGGTTGAGATCATCCCCATTTTATAAATGAGGAAACTGAGACACAACAGAAAGTCACAATATATGTGTATCAGACTCCATTATTGAAATTAAATGAAACTACACATAAGAGCTTTTTGAAACTATATTTTACTTAATAAAACATACATGTGATCTTTAAGCTCTGATAAATTGTTTTACTTAGTCTGTATTTAAACGTAATTTTTGTGTATCCACTGTTATTAACACAGATAAATGTGTTGTTTCTTCTTCCTGGATTATTTTAACATGCTAATTTAAATAAATCTGATGCTAGATATTTAATGCAATATTATGCTTGGAAAGCCATTCCATAGGTCATTATGGAGATGTGGTAAATGATAGCAGCCCATTCCTTTAAGAAGGAAAAATGTCCAGAGATGAGTCAAACAGCTTTTTGAGGCTGGTTCATCAAAAACATTTACCATCATTTGTTTCTGTGACTGTGTCCCTTCTTCTGCCTCACTGATCAAACTCCATCTTGGTTTTATTCAGATTTCAAATGTAGTCAACAGTCACAACTCATCCATGTCACTGTCATTCCAACGGCACCTTTTGCTAGGGTTTCTTTAGAAGACTTAGAGCAAGGACTTTAGAATAAAATGTTTGAACTTTTTGGTGCCCCTTAGATCTAATGCGGTCATTCATTAAGGTCAAACCTGGAATATCACCCTGCCTCTTTCGGTTGCTCTAATCTCTGTAGGATGCTTCCTGTGTTATATTTTAAATGGTTTGAGTGAGCTCAGATGACACCAAAGTTAGCTAGGATGCTGAAGTTATAACCACAAATGACTACATTATTTTACAGCAATCCTTTGAAGTAAAATGCAGTGAAAAGCTTATGATATATTATATGGCCAGCTCTGAATTAAATATAACTAACATTTTGGGAGTCATTCTGCCCCAAATTCATTTTGACTATTAATGTCTGCTCTGCCCAGTCTGACCTTGACAACGGGAGTTCCAGTTTATAAATTTATCATGCGGAGAGCATCCCCAGACAAGGGATAAATGAGCTCAGAGGATAATTCTGTGAGTAACTCTGTTTAGAAAGACACTTTCAATTTTTTATGGGCCTAGATTTGAGGCATACATGTGGAAATCCCCTTAGGCCACCATTCTATTTGATGACAGGGTTCCAACAATTTGAATTATAGGCCTTTCTGAAAATTACTCGGTCAAATACATTTAAGAGAGGAACATGCTTTGTCAAACCTGGCAGTACCAAGCCATAGATAAAATTACTACAATGCTCCTATTATCCATGGTAGAAAGAAAAACCTGTCTATAGGGATCAGAAACTGGATGTGTAAGCATAAAGTGAGGCCATAGCCTACTTGCATTTGTTCCCCCTCCACAATAGTTACCAGATGTAGGGAAGGTAATTCCAGAAGATACATCAAGGGCTTTAGTTCTTTATCAGAAATAATTTTCATTTTTCCAGTCAATGCATATCTTATTTCTTCCACCATTAATTCTACAATGTGGTCTCAATTATATCAGTAAGAAAAGTGGGAAACAACCCATCCCGACCCAAAAATTTTGAATTAATAAAATGTTCTTTATCAAACTATTATACAGATTAATGCACCACAACTTGCATGATTAAAATGACCCTTTGTTATGGAAATCAGCAGCACAGACCCATAGAATTTAATTGCAAGGAAATTTAAAGTCATATAGCCCTATACTTTAATCCATTAGTGTTTTGGAGGTTAAAATCTGGCTGTAAAAGGGAGCACTTCCTATTACCACCAAATGGTTTTACTTCTAAGGAAAACTTATTATTTAAAAGTATTTGATGTCATTTTGGCATAGATCTCAACGCCTTGAAAACTTTTTTTTTTAAATAGGTAGGATGATTGTACACATGCAAGTTGCTTTTGCATTTTAAACTCAGTTCCAATTAAAATGGAATGGTGACAATTCTCTGATTGAGCAGAGAAATGATTAAAACAGTGAGACTATCTCAGGATTAACTGATTAGTCAGTTGCGAATAAAATCATGTCTTCCTTCAAAATGTTCATAAAAGACCAGCTGATCATTTTGTATCTTCCAATGAAGGGTTACTATTTCTCCCAATATCATGGAATAATGATTTTGTTCACTTATTATCAGAAGAAAAAATTAAATTGATAATATACTTAAATTACTTGACAACATCATTGAAATGCTGTTTCATTTCACACCCTTCTAATGGTCACCTCATCATTAAATAGTGACGCAACAGCCTAGGGCTAATCTTGAACTCATCTCCTCTTCTGACCTTGATCAAACTTAATCCACACAAAAGAAGTAAATGATAATGGATCCCTAATCTAGAGATGACTTGTATCTATCTGCCAAAGAAAGCTGACATCCTCTTTTGTTTTTCTGTTATAGCACAGTCTCCTTTGTGTGGACAGGATATAAAATATATACCATCTTTCCATAATGTAGTTAGGGGATTTGTTCTTTTTAATTTATTTGTACCAATTTGAGGAAAAGAAAATACCTAAAAATAACAGGCTGTAGTATGAGATGTGGTCTATGAGCAGGCTTCCTCAAACTACGGCCTCTGGGCCACATGTGGCCCACCGAGGACATTTATCTGGCCCATCAAGTGTTTTTGCCTGTCCTGTTTAGCAGCCAACTCATCCTGGGGCCCGCAGTCCAGCTCTCCAATGGTCTGAGGGACAATGAACTGGTCCCCTGTTTAAAAAGTATGAGGACCCCTGGTCTATGGTGTAAATAAGCCCAATAAATAAAAATGTCTTCTTTCCCCAAACGAGGACCTGGTTATTTGCCTTATGAACTGATTTAAAACAGCGTCATGGTGAAATAACAAAGTCTTCCTGTATTTTAAAATTGGAATGAGCGCCATTAACTTGTTTTGGCCCTCTGGGGATCTAGCTTAACACTGCTGGATCATAGTTTTCTTATCTAAATAGAAGCATGTAATAATTATGTCTCATTCTTCTTATTACATAATCATTTTCAAAAAAGTTCTTCTTACAAAGAATATCAATTAAAATGCATCTCCTGTTGTAAGATTCTGAAAATTAAGATGACACTATTTCACATTTTCTGGGTTTTGTTCTTTATTTCTTACGTGGCTCAAATGTTTTGATTGGTTTTGTTTTCCCCTGTACTAAATTCACTTCTGATTCTGAAAACCTACAGAGTACGGAATAAGGCAAACATTTGCTAATCAACAGAATTCTTTGGAGAAACTGGGTCAGATCACATAGTAGGTCAAACAGACTCTGCTAGAAAATGCAATGCAGTGTTTGTAACAGCCTTAGCAGCCGTCACACTAATGAAGTAGACTTTGGAATTTATTTCAATGGTGATTAAGTCCTTGCTGATAATTTGCTTTACCTTGCACACATCTGCATCATGTTTTACAAGGGGAAAGGGACAAAATATTAAGGCCAACAAAGATTAGACAGGTTTTAAGCTTTATTGCAGTTTAATGTTTTTTAATTAAAGCAAAAGGATCTTTGTCAGGATCTCTAGAAGTTAGCATGCCCATAGCACTGAACCATCCAACCAGCCAGCCGTGAAGAAGCCAGCACCTGGATTAAATGCGGAAAGGCCTCCAAAGGGAGAAGGAGGATATTTCATAAGTTTAATAACTAATGAAAGACACAACCAACGAAACCAGAATTACCTCATCTAATTCCATTTCATCTGGACTCTCCCATGGCTTGATAAATTTCCCACGAGATTTCTTCAAAGGCACAATTATTATGTAGTAACCTCTGCACAGAAATGAATAGACAAAAATAAGGTTATTTCCGAGGGCAAACAAAGTGGAAAGACTCTTAAATCTTCCACAGGCCAGTGATTGAGAATGAAGGCAAATTATGGATATGAAGTGACTTGTCCATTCCTTACATCAATGACAAATAACCACCTGTTTGTTCAATTTTAAAAACAACATGGGCAGACATTAATGTGTGACTTCAATGATCTTGTCTGGTAATATCACCATGGTCGACTGCTCTTTATTAGCTCTCATAAACAGAGCAGGCATAGTTTGTTACGGCCCTGGTGCTGGACACATACAAGGCTGAGATATTGAAATCTACCACCCCGAGCTGCTGAACCAAATATTTTCGATGACATTAATTTATAAGAGGACTTTTTTTAAAAAAGGAGGAATACAGAATAAAAACTACCCTTAGCGTACATAAAGACCTACTGTTACATCATTTATACAAACCTCAAATGCCTTTTATTTGGATAAAAAAATTAAAAGTATAAAAATTACATAGATTCTCACAACAAGTACATGGAATAATGGTATAAAAACTTATATCTCCTCTCTTTCTATTCATCAAATTAAACACCTCAAGGTAAGTACTATAGAAATTCAGAGATGATCACTACCTAAGGGTCTTCAAAATCGATTTCAGTAAATGTGAAGTAACTGAGTTTGACATTAAGAATGGTCAAATAAAATTTAAGTGATTTAAATCACCTCTCTGTCCAAAACCAGATACATGTTACTTGTAAATTGCTTTCTAAATTCAGTATAGGGTAGTCTGCTTTTCTGTTTAGGGACTCTGCTCATACCAGTCTTTGGTAGTAACTATGGAATTTGAACATACTGTACAATAATCACTTCATAAACAAATTAATCACTTCCTACTTCTCAAGTATTATATTCAGTGAATAATCTGGTTTTGTCCAGCAATCCTTCAAAGGCAGCCTAGGTACAATAAGGCTATAAAACTATAAGACACATAAAAAGAAATATCTGGAGAGACTGAATAATTGACAAGTGAAAAGAGATAGTGAAGGGACTCAAACCCACACTTATCTTAACCTTGGCCATGGTCAGTCGCTTCTCATTTATTCTAGGTATCTTAAAGTGAGGATTCCAAACTTTTTGTGGAGACTTAATGTGAGAATGAGAGCCCGTGTGCCTCATTCGCACCTTTAAGAGAAGGCTACCACACATGACAACGGCGTGAGAGGAAGATCACTACCAACTCTTTATACATTGTATTACGAAGAATAATGGCATGCACAGGAAGGCGTCTTTCTACTATCTCAAACGAAACCTGCAAAAAACTCAGAAAATCCTGTGATAAAGAGCTCTGTTTCTATACAGCCTAGAGCTGAGCTGCTCTGTATGGCAGGGCTAGCTCCTTAAAACGGTGGAGCACTTGAAATGCATGTGCTACTAAATGTAACAGACTCACTGAATTCTAAAATCTTAGTACTTAAAAGAAGAATGTATTCTATCTCAATAATAAATAATTGTAAAATAGGGATCATATGTTGAAGAACGTATTCTATCTCAATAATAAATAATTGTAAAATAGGGATCATATGTTGAAACAATAATATTATAGACCTATTGGGTTAGATATATCTAGAATATTTAGTTATCAAAATTAATATCACTTGTTTGTTTTTACTTTTTCACTGTAGCTCTTAGAAATTTTTAAATTTCACTAGGAGTTTGTAGATGTGTTGGACAGAGCTGCTTCAGGGAGTTCTGGTAAGAATGGAGCACCTGGCCGTGAATTTGGGCTCTGCTGCTACCAATCTACTGTGTGATCTTGGACTGATCATGCTGCCTTCCAAAATTGCAGTTATATGCTCTGAAACATGAGAGGGAAAAATATCATGCTGGTACATGGAGGGGAAAAAACAAATGAACCCCCAAATGCTCCTCACAGTGTATGTGGCACTACAGATGGTAGGTGCTTCTGTCCAGGACTGATCACTACGGTGGGACGATGCATCTGAACTCTTATTCATTAAGACCTGATGAAATTCTAGGAGATACAGGTTAAAGAACTTGACAAAGTGTTTTTTTTTTTTCCTTCTTCCTAATCGAGAATTCAAGTCAAACCAGACAATCATACCACAAGCCTTTTTCCATGGTGCACTGAGCAACTAATCAACAGACGTGCAGGATTACATCACCCACCCATTCATTTCCTTTACTACAAATAATCACGATGATCAAGGCAGGTGAGGAGAAGAGTTGTGTGTGTGTGTGTGTGTCTGAGAGAGAGACAGACCAGTATTTTTTATTTTATGATCCAGAGGACGTTCCCCCTCCTCCCGTCCTCCCACCACGTGAAGGATTTGCCAAACAACTCCATCATGTTAAATGAGCATGGAAGAGAATGACAGAGGCTGCAACTGAGCATACAGAGTAACTCTGCAGATACGCCTGACAAACACACTTGTCAGGGAACTGCATTTCAGTACCAGCCGAGCCAAGTCAGGAGAGCTCTACCCTAAAGCAACGCTGCTGCGTGTGATCAGAGAGCATCTTGTCAATCAAGGTTAAGCTGATGAGTTGTACTAATTTTTCTTCCGCCTTCGTATTGGAATTGCCCTTCTTGTACATGAGAAAAGAATCCATTCTGTCTTCTGCAGCATTCCCTAACTATTCATTTGACTCATGGCGGGGATAAGAATTGAACAGCCTCCCCCACAGCAATTAATTAACAGTGTGGTCAAATATCCACAACCTTTTCTCTCCACTAAAGCATTCATCTAGGGCAGTCAAAGTGAAGTCTGCTTCCAAGCAGCTCTCACACATTAAATGAAATGAAGCAGTGGCAGTTTGGAGCTCCATGTTATAGAGAGCTTCGCCGATGTCCAGATCCCACAATGCAACTGTGTTCTCTCCAACCACAGTTGTGTGAACACCCAGATTTACCAGCCATACCTGTGACCTGGCTGTCCCCGAGGACCTGGCTTTCTCGCAGCCCTCTCCTGCAGCAGCTGGTGGCTTCTTCCTCTCCTGCCTGTGAACCGCAGAGTCAGGGACTGGGGGTTTCTTCCTGACTTCCTGCAGGTGTTATTCCCTCCACCCTCCTGCTAACAATGAAACACAGCTCCTCCTTTTTTGAAGTTCATTGAATCCAGCCATCTTATGCTCATCTCTTGCTGATTTTTGTCATCTACCACCTTCCCCACATCTTTTTCTTTTTAGGAAAGATTCTTTCGAGGGGTTCATAGACTTCCTTGCTTCCCCAACTCTGCTATCTCTTGGGTGACAGCAATGTTCCCACGGCTGGCCTGGGCACCTTCCAGGCTCTCAGATCTTTCCACCCTCCCTTTCCAAAGCCTACTCCTTCCACTACCTTGGCTGGACTACCCTATACTGAATTTACAGCAGACTACCCTATACTGAATTTACAAAGCAATTTACAAGTAGCCCTTCCACTACCTTCACTCCTCGGCTGAAATCTCTGCTTGCTGTTCTCTGTGCCTGAACCCAGGGAGCTGAATACAGCTTGGGAAACCAAGTGCAAGGCAGAATAATGCCACACACTCAGGATCAGCAAACGCAATGAGGCCGTGCATGCTGCCTGGCCATTTTACCACTTCCCAGTTTCCTAGGAACTTCTCTAGTCGCCTGGTCCTTCCATTGTCCACAATAAGTTTTCACACTTTTGCTTCTAGCCTGAAAACTCTGAACATCTCTACCTCCCCATGAGAGGAGAATCTTACTTCTTATATACAGAAAAAAATACAAGCATTGAGATCAGAATTCCTTCTCTGGGAATTCCATCTGAGAATCATCTGTCTGCCAAACTATATGCTTATCTGCATCTAAATCTGTAAATAAACCACAAGCATTCTCTTAGGCACAGCAGAAAGGCTGGCCCTACTTTTTAAGGCCAATAACTATTTCTTGGATTGTTTCTAATCCTCTTATTTTCTTAGGAAGTTTACCAGACACTGGACCCCTTTCTTTCATATATGTCAAATTCTCCCTCCTTGTACCTGTTAACTTCCAACCATGCAATAAATATCTACATTTAATAAACAAAACAAACCGTATCCCACTCCAGTCACCTCTCTCCTACCCCTACTGGGAAATTCCTGCAGAGAGATCTGTGTTCCTGCAGCTCTCTGCGCCCACCCACTCCCCTTCTCACCCTGCCCTACCTGCCGCCTCTCACTCCTCCTCTCTGCCATGCCTGGGGTTCTCAGTGACATCCATGGTGTCACATCAACAGGTGAGTTTTTGATCCTTTTCTTTTTTCTTGACCTCTTGGTAGAATCTTGATGTGTTGACAAGATCCCCCAGGAAACATCCTTAGCCCTTTTCTGTGTTGCAGTTCTCCTGTTATTTCTACATGTGTTTCTTACCACACTAACATTATTTCCTTAGCAGAATTTATTATCCACTACCTAACTATCATGGCACTATCCAAGACCTTCTATTCATATTCTACTTTCATCCTAGGAGATCTCATTCCAGCCCAAGGCATCCATGCTTTAGCTATATTGCTAATGATTTACAGGTTCATATCTTCAGTCAAGAATGCTCTTCTGGTAGGGCGCCGGCCCCATATACCAGAGGTGGCAGGTTCAAATCCAGCCCCAGCCAAAAAAACTGTAAGAAAAAAAAAAGAAAGCTCTTCTGGGTTCTATAGGTTTATCCTACCTCGACTTTATGTTTCCATTTGTATGCCACAAAAGTCCCTCAAACTTACTGTGGTTAAAACAAATCAAATCATATACCTTTTAAAATAAACCCTCCTCCAACTTTGTACAACAACTATTTCAGCACGCATGCCAGAAACCTAGGTGCTGTCACTGACAATCTGCTTTTACTCTCCCCTCCCTCCTACCCAATCTATTGCCAAGTCCTGTAACCTCCCAACTCTGTCTCTACTGCCACTCCTCTGGTCTTATCCACTGCCTTGTGCCCAGACCCTGTCTTACTCTTCTCTCAGTCTCTCCACTCACTTCAACTCCTTCTAGTCTTGTCTTT